CGAGACTGCTGCCGCGCGAAGGCTAGGCTGTGCGTCCTCCTCCCTTAGGTGTGGGGAAGTCATGTCTCCTCCTGCAGTTCACAGACAAGCGGTTCCAGCCTGTCCACGACCTCACCATAGGTAAGTGCCTGTGCCTGTCCCGGAGCAGAGAGGGAAACCCGACGAGCTAAAGAGGAAAGAGAGCCGCCGTCAGGGTGGGAAGTAAAACGTTAGCTTTCCCTCCTTTTAAACTAGCCCAAAGTTATATTACATGAAGAGTGACCGATCAAACGCCGTAAATGGGGAATAGTGGAGTGGGGGGGTACATCATTGAAAGGTAACTTTAGAAGTGAGCGTGAGGTATGAATTAGTTGCTGTAGGATTTGATTTTTTCTTCCCCAAACGCAATTTGAATATTTATGGAAAATCGCCCGAAAGCATAATTTACAAACTCGCTCGGCCGGAAATTACGGGTAGCCTCACGTAGGTTTTGTAAAGTAATTACCAATGTGTAGTCTTTTTGTGTGTTGGAGAGGAAGAAGCAAAGGGAAGAGCCATCCCAGACTTAAAAGGCAGCTGAAACTAATAATTTATAAAGAAAGGAGTATGTTAGGGTTCCAAAAAATGCACTGGTGATCCTGGAAGGTATAAACATCTCCCACACATTTGGGATAAGGCATGGCCTGCTGGGGCCTTAGTATTCCCGTTCCCATAATCTCCATAACTTCACCCCAGACAAAGAAATGTATAAAACTAGCCTTCCTGCCATCCAAATGCAGTTTCTGAATCAAATCCCTGACTCCCATTCTTACCATATTGCCACCTCCAAGCCCCAGGTTATGGAAATCTGTAGCTACTACTGCTTCCAAAGAACTTACCCAGAGCCAAATACCTAATGTGGTTACAAAAGGACTTAGAGGATAGCAAAAACAGGAAAATATTTTTGGAAATGAATATTAAGTGGACACTCACACCATGATAGGTGCTAATGATGCAGTGCTTACCAAGGCAAACTTTGCCCTTAAGTAGCTTTACAATCTCCCAATGTAGGAGGTGGAGCTGGGAGTAGATACCATGGTGACATGTAAATTCCTATTGCAAAGGGGAAGGAGAGACTCACCTCTCTCAGGAAAGGCTGGGAATTGAAGAATGAGCAAGAGTTAGCTAGGCAAAGGGGATGTAGAGATGAGGTTGAAAAGTGATCAGGGCAAAAGGGAATAATAACGTGCAAAGGCTCAGGAATGATGGAGAACTGGCTACCTTTGGAAAAGTGAAAGTAGTTTAATATGGCTGGAGCAGGGAGTTTGAAGTGACGAGTGGTAAAAATGAAAGGTAAAGAATAAATTAGGGACCAAGCTTTGAAATACCCCAAGTAATAGGAAGAAGTGACAAGTTCTTTGGTTTTTTAAAAAATATATTTTATTGATTCTTTTTTACAGAGAGGAAGAGAGAGGGATAGAGAGTTAGAAACATCGATCAGCTGCCTCCTTCACACCCCCTACTGGGGATGTGCCTGCAACCAAGGTACATGCCCTTGACCGGAATCCAACCTGGAACCCTTGAGTCCACAGGCCTACGCTCTATCCATTGAGCCAAACCGGTTAGGGCGGAAATGACAAGTTTTAAATCTGAAGAATGATGTGATCAATCATGTTTTCCCCAGAGTCCATTATAGGCTCTGTTTCTTTCCTCAGTACCAAGATAAATTCGGTCTTCTGTACCAAGATAAACAAGGCAGTTGGATAGAAAACATATGCAAAATATAAGCACCTCTGAGTTTCTAAATAGAGAAAGTTGCATAAAAGGAGATGAAGTTTTGTGTTTGTTTTTTAACCTTCCCCATTGAAATTCCATTCCTATTTTCCAGAAAGGGGGGACAAAAATAGGGACATTTTTCAGTAGCTATCACTATTCTTTATTTTTAAAATTATTATTATTATTTTTAAATTTTTACTTCAGAGGGGAAAGGAGAGGGAGAGAGAGATAGAAATATCTGTGATGAGAGAGAATCATTGATCAGCCTCCTGCAAGCCCCCCACTGGGGATGGAGCCCGCCACCTACGCATGTGCTCTGTCTGACCTCCTTGTCCATAGATTGACACTCAACCCCTGAGCAACACTGGCTGGGCTGATTTTTAAGTTTTGTCTTGACGTTACCTTGAAAGAAGATAGATGCCAGGAAAACCAGAACCTTTATTCAGACTGTCAGTTTCCATACTCCTATGAGGAAAGCTATTTTCTAGTGAACTCTTGATAATTTTTGGAGGTCTGAAATGTATCATTCTTAAGAACCTATTTCTTAGGTAGGCTCTTTTATCAAACAAAAAATTCTGGAATTGCAAAAATAGAAATACTGTTTTATATAGAGGACTAAAGAATGACTTTGAAAAAGTGCTAGGAAATATTTCAGAATTTTTAGAAGTTTTTTTTAAAAAGTTACAAAATTAGCCCTAACTGGTTTGGCTCAATGGATAGAGCGTCGGCCTGCGCACTGAAGGGTCCCAGGTTCGATTCCGATCAAGGGCATGTACCTTGCTTGCTGGCACATCCCCAGTAGAGTGTGTGCAGGAGGCAGCTGATCGATGTTTCTCTCTCATTGATGTTTCTAACTCTCCCTCTCCCTTCCTCTCTGTAAAATATCAATAAAATATATATTTTTTAAAAATTACAAAATTAAACCATTACCTAATCAATCCTAAACATGAAGTAATATTGCTAAAAATTTATTCACCTTTTCTACTTTGTTTTGTCCTCATATCTGTTCTTTGGTTACGTTTCTGAGGTTATTATCACGTAGAACAGTTTTTAATTTTAGAAATGAAACTTCAAGAAACAAACTAATTGGAGCAAAAAGGCTGTGATAATGGGTTTAGTGGCACTGAGGGCAAAGTCATTAGCATATTGAAGAAAAGAGGAACTTCTCACTTAACATGGCTGTTCATGAGAATCACTTTCTTTCTCTTGGTCTTCACTGACAGGTGTGGAGTTTGGGGCCCGTATGGTCAACATTGATGGAAAACAAATCAAACTGCAAATCTGGGATACGGTGAGAGAGGACAAAATAATTCAGTTTGTAACCAAGATCCAAATATAACACTAAAGGCCGATGAGCATGGAAGGGGCTTTGTGGGTGGGGCTAATGGGGAAGAATGAAATCAAAGAGCTAGGGAAGCTTTCACTTCCCTCTGTTACAGTTACAAATCCTGAATGCCATATTTTTAATTTTTTGTTTTAAATTACCCAAGTAATATATATGTTTGTTGTTGTAAAAATAAAAGCCAACCATATAAGGGTACAGAATCAGAAGTAAATGTCACATAAAGCTCTCTCCTTCCCAATGTTGGTTTTTTACTTTGTCAGAGTAAACCATTATTAATGATTCACACTTTTCCTCTGTATTTAAATACAGAAATAGAAACATAAACAAATATATGGTAGTGGTTTTATTTTGTTTTTAGAATTGTGACAAAGTAGACTTGCTTTGTGACTTGGGTTTTTGTTTTATAAACAATCTCTATGTTGTAGAGATTTTTCCATGTTGATACAAATAGATATACCTCACTTCTTATAATCACTGCATAGAATCATAGAACATCTGTACCATCATTAATTTAACCATTGCCCATGATGGAAATTTAGGTGGTTACCAAAATTGCAAAGTTTCATTGTTTATTCTTATTTACTACATCTATATTCAGATATTTGAGGATTTCTGTGGTATACCTGCCCAGAAATGGAAATTCTGGGTGAAGGGTTATGCATATTTTAAAATTTGACAAATGTTATCCTGCCAAAATTTAGTTGACTTCGTGTAATTTTATCCAGGTAAATTGCTTTCATATACATTATCTCATTTGGTTTGTACTTTTATTTTCCCTAAGAAAAATAATATTCTAGTCTCTATTTTAAGTTAAAGGGAGCTACCACATAGTTCCTAATGTTTAGCTAAAATCTCTATTTTTATTTACTTACTAGAGGCCCAGTGCACAACATTCGTGCACGGTGGGGTTCCTCAGCCCGGCCTGCACCATCTCCAATCTGGGACCCCTCGGGAGATGTCTGACTGCCGGTAAACCGGCAGTCGGACATCCCTCTCACAATCCAGGACTGCTGGCTCCTAACTGCTCACCTGCCTGCCTGCCTGATCGCCCCTAACTGCCTCTGCCTGCTGGCCTATACCCCTAACTGCTCCCCTGCTGACTCCCCCCTGCTGGCCTGATCGCCCCTAACTGCCCTTCCCTGCTGGCCTGATCACCCCTATTCCTCTGCCTCGGCCCCGGCCACCATGGCTTTGTTCAGAAGATGTCCGGTCTAATTAGCATATTAGCTGAGCCAAACCAGCTAGGGCCATATTACTTTTTATCTTTCTTCATCCTTTATATTTGCCCAAATAACCATGCTAACTGAAGAGGCATTGTAGTATAGCTAATATAAAATATTAATTAAATAATCCCAAATTAATTTGTATTTTATTTTGGAATGCACTTTGGTTCTTGGGAAATGAGCATATCTGACTTTGTAGGAATTTATGCTTCCAAGTATATTTCTTGAAAGTACAATATGCTTCCACTGGAAGAAATTAGAAAACTTAATTCTCTTTATCAGACCTCCATCTTAGCCTTTGCTGCTTCAGATTTTTTACTTGGATGGGCAAATACCTCAGACTGATGCAGACCAGCCCAACTTGAACCAGTCTTTCTAGCTTATTAGCTCACAAACTTTGATTCATAAACTGGGCTGAGATGAAGTGATTTTATTTCATTTATTTATTTAAGCATATTTTTATTGATTTCAGAGAGGAAGGGAGAGGGCAAGAGAGATAGCACCGTCAATGATGAGAGAGAATCATTGATTAGCTGCCTCCTGCACATCCTCTACTGGGGATTGAGCCCACAACCTGGGCATGTGCCCTTGACTGGAATCATACCTGGGGCCCTTCAGTCTGCAGGCCAAAGCTCTATCCACTGAGCCAAAGTGGCTAGGGTGTGATTTGATTTTAAAAGACATATTCTGATGACCCACTGTAAGTATTTTCAGCTGCTACAGTTAAATGCTACCATATAATTCAACCATCATGTGGGTCTCCCTCAAACTTTCCCTGTTAGTTCCTACTAGGCCACAGGATAGGAGGGTCTTTCAACAATAGAGGAGAAAAAGTCAGTAAGAGATAAAAGCAAAACAGGAATAAATTTAAGACAAAACTATTAGGGCCCCAGGCCAGAGTGGGCTTAGATGGTTGAGCATCATCCTATGCACTGAAAGGTTGCTGGTTTAATTCCCAATCAGGGCACATGCCCAGGTTGCGGGTTTGTTTCCCAATTGGGGTGTTTCTTTTTCTTTCTTTCTTTCTTCTTTTCTTTCTTTCTTTCTTTCTTTCTTTCTTTCTCCTTCTCTCTCTCTTTCTCTCTCTCTCTCTTTACCTCTCTCTCTGTCTCTCTCCCGCTTCCTCTTTCTAAAAAATCAATACAAACATATTTTAAAAAACTGTTAGAGAATAAAGCATTGAGTTCTTGGAAGGAAAACGTGTTTTAAATCTTAAATTATTGCTAATATTACCAACAAATTCTTTAGAATTATTTTTGGATTCTAATGTTCTAACAGGTATGCAACTCAACAAAACATTTGAATGATTCTTATTGGAAAGAGATTTAGTGTTGTTGGAAAAGTAACCTTACAATTAGTGTACTTGAATTCTCTTCTCATCTTCAAACCCGGGTTTAGATTATATGATGTCATGACCAAGAGAACAAACTTTTGTGCCAGGAAGTATTATGATACTAAGTTTAAGCTATAGATTCAGCATTTATAAACTTTATAATTTTTGGCCAGCTACTGAACATACCACTTTGAACCTCATTTTTTCCATTTGTGGTATTACTGGTATCATATTGTCATTTTACTATGAGAAAGTCATTTCTTTTCCCATGTCCAATTTTAGTTTTTCCATCTTTAAAATATGAATATTAGCCTTCTATCCCAAGCTTTAATTTTTTAAAATTTATTGATTGATTTGAGAGAAAGAGAAACATTGATTTGTTGTTCCACTTATTTATGCAATCATTGTTTGACTCTTTTATGTACCCTGACCAGGGATGGAACCCGCAACCTTGGAGTATCAAGATGACGCTCTGATCAACAGCTATCTTGTCAGGGCACCCAATCTTCATGTAGGAATATGAGATTAATTGATTTCAAGAATGTGAAAACTCTACTAATATTATAGATTCAATTATTTTTTTATTCATACTATTATTTAAAAGATGCTTTTGTTTCCTATAAGGAGGGGGCGAAATCCCATCAGGAAAACAAAAGTACCCATTATGTGGAGGCATTAACAAATTACTCATTTATAAATAAAACTTAGTATCTTGATTCTAACTGGAAATTAGAGTGTGAACAGTTGAATTTTTTTTTTTTTTTAAGGAAAACTCTGTTCTGGGCCCTGGGCTTCTTTCCCTGTTCAAGTGCTTTGTAGCTGACTAATTTTCTGTATTGATTCATTGAAATGAAACTTTCATTTGACAGGGTGTTAGCATTTTAAGATAATTTTTCTTTTTATAGGTAAAGGAACAGAAACAGAATAGAAAGGTTAATGTGATGTGTTCAATATCATGTTTGGATTGACAGTACATGTACTGAGTTTCTAGTCATTTCTAGTTATTCTAGTGGATATTGGTAAATGTCTTTGGTTGTCACATTGACTGCGGGGTGTAACTGGCATTTAGTGCCTAGAAACCAGAATGGTAGTCAACAATTTGATAGGTGGTCTCACAGGAATAATTGACCCATTCAAAATATCAATTGCATTCCCTTTGAAAAAAATTGGTTTTCTCCCTGGGCAGTCATGTTTCCTTTCACTAATTCCCTTTTCTTATAGGAATTTTTTAAGCTATTAAGCATGTGATCAAGTCAGTTCTCTGGAAATAACCTTGCTTTGTTGGGACTTTTTTTGTTGGCATGTTGGTGGGAAAGGCTGGGCAAGAATCCTTCCGTTCTATCACCCGTTCCTACTACAGGGGAGCAGCTGGAGCACTGCTGGTGTACGACATTACAAGGTGAGTCAGATCTCTTTGTTCTCAAAATTGGAATGCTAAAGAGGAATGGCATCTTAATATTTTTCTTTACACATCTGTCTTTTCTCCTTCCCATACATTGGCATTCCTTTGGCATTTTGAAATGGGCCTCAGACCCACTTTCTAAACTTTCCTACTGTAGGCGTGAAACCTTCAACCACCTGACCTCATGGTTAGAGGATGCCCGGCAGCACTCTAGTTCCAACATGGTTATCATGCTGATTGGGAATAAGTGGTAAGTTTTAATTTGAATAAATAATAAATACCAACAGTCATCTGGGTACTCCATGGACATTGAATCACTTGGTCCCCAAACTTTTTTAGTTTATGGTGCTCTTAGTATCTCAGTAAAAAAAATTATTGTGGTAAAATATATATAACATAAAATTTACAGTTTTACTCATTTTTAAGTATACAGTTCTGTGGCATTAAGTTTGCACATGTTGTTCTATAACCATCACTACCATGCATCTCCAAACTTTTTTATCATCTCAAACTGAAACTCTGTTCCCGTAAAACACTAACTCCACATTCTTCATCCCACTAGCCCCAGCAAATACCATTCTACTTTCTGTCTTTATGAGTTTGACTACTCTGGGCATCTAATATAAGCAGAATTGAATCTTATAGTATTTGTCCTTTTGTGACTGTGGCTTATTTATTTTATTGAGTTTTAGAGAGAGAGGAAGGGGAAGAGAGAGAGAGAAACATTGATTTGTTGGTCTATCCATTTATACATTCGTTTCTTGTATGTGCCCTGACCAGGAATCAAACCCCCAACTTTGGTGTATTGGGATGATGCTCCAATCAACTGAGCTACTCAGCCAGGGCTGACTGTGGCTTATTTCATTTAGCATAGTGTCCTCTGGATGCATCTATTTTTCCTTTCTTTTTTTTAAAAAAAACTTTATTTACTTTTTCCATCACTGTTTATCCCCTCTCTGCCCTCTTCTACCTCCACCACCCCTCCTTCCGTTTTTAAGGCTGAATAGTATTCCATCGAAAGTATTTACCACATTTTGTTTATCTATTCATCCATTGATAGATACTTGGTTTGCTTATACATACCTTTTGGCTTTTGTAAATAATGCTGTAGTCAACATGGGTTTATAAATATCTGTTTGGGTCCCTGGTTTTTATTATTTTGGGTGTATAGCCAGAAATGGAATTGCTGATCTCATGGTAATTCTGCATTTAAAGTTTTGAGGTACTGCCATACTGTTTTCTATAATGGCTATCCCATTTGACATTTCTACCAGCAGTGTATAAGGGTTTAATTTTCTTTGCATCTTCTTCACCACTTATTATTCTCAGTAAATTTTCTATGACACCCATAAACCAAAAGAAATACCTAGCAGTTTTGTTATTAAATGGTTAGATCTAAACAACATAACAAGTATTTTTGTTATAACAACTTAATAACTGAGAAAACATACGCAGTGCCTTAAGGTGCTAACACAGAAGGGTAAAAAGTAAGTCTCAATAAAACCCAGAGAAGAGATGGTAAAACTCCTCTTTGGATCCTGTCTGGAGTCACAGCTGGGAAAGGAAAAAAAGAAAAGAAATGAAAAACATAAATTAAAAGAAAGCCATTTTTAAATAACCATAATTACTTATTAATGACCTGTATGGCCTTGCTGGGCATTGCCTAGCTTCTCAAACCTTGGGATCAAGATTGACATTGTCACTCCCACTTCTTGTTCCAAATTGATTTTTGCACAGTACTTGCTTTTTATCATAGCAGCTGTCAAAACCTTTTTACGAAGAGATGAAGATATTAAACGGCATCTATTCTGATCTAATGTTGACTCTGTGAACTATCTTTAGCTTGTAATTCACACAGTGTTCTTATATTGAATGTTGCTGTATTTCCCACAAACATTTGAAGTATCCTGTGGCACCCTTCTGAGTTTGTAGTAGTCCCGAGGTTGCACCATTTGAGAATTGGCCACAGACTAATTGTATTCATTTATTGGGTCATTCAGTTTTATGGAAAACCTACTATGTCCTAAACACTGTGCCAGACCTTGAATGTACAAGGTTAAAAAAAACCCCAAAAACAACAAAACTCATGCCCCTGCTCCTATGGAGTTTAGAGGGGACACAGATATTAAATATAAATTATCTGTGTCTAATTACAAATTATGACAAATGCAATGAAGGGGAAAAAGGACTGCTATAAAAGAGTAACGAGCTATTTTTTTTTTTATTAAGAGTAATATTTAAGTTGGAATATGAAGGATGGGTAAGAGATCAGTGGGCAAAGACTTAAAGAAAACAGCAATAAAACAGCCCTGGCCGGGTAGCTCAGTTGTTTGGATCATCATCCTGTACACCAAAAGATTGCAGGTTCCAATCCTGGTCAGGTCACATACCTGGGTTTCAGGTTCAATCCCCTGGGCTTATACAGGATGCAAGCAATCTACGTTTCTTTCTCACACTGATATTTCTCTTTCTCTCTCTGTCTCTCTCCGCTTCCTCTCTCTCTAATCAATTAAAACACACACATAGCCGAGGCCGGTTTGGCTCAGTGGATAGAGCGTCGGCCCGCGGCACGCGGGGTCCCAGGTTCGATTCCGGTCAAGGGCATGTGCCTGGGTTGCGGGCACATCCCCAGTGGGAGATGTGCAGGAGGCAGCTGATCGATGTTTCTCTTTCATCGATGTTTCTAACTCTCTATCTCTCTCCCTTTCTCTCTGTAAAAAATCAATAAAATATATTTAAACACACACACACACACACCACAAACATAGCCTCGGTTGAGGATTTTAAAAAAACAACCCATGCCCAGCCAGTGTTGCTCAGTGGTTGCGCGTTGGTCCATGAACCAGGAGGTTACAGTTTGATTCCCCATCAGGGCAGATGCTCAGGTTGCAGGCTTGATCCCTAGTAGGAGGTGTGCAGGAGGCAGCTGATAGATGTTTTTCATCGTTGTTTCTATCTCTCTCCCTCTCCCTTCCTCTCTCTGAAACCAATAAGAACAAAAACACCCCCCTCCCTCCAAGATATTAGAGAGGGAGAACAAAGTGTATGAAAGCCTCAACTGGAAGAAGCTGTGCAAATTATGGTATTGAAAGAAACCTGGTGTGGTTGGACTGAATCAAGGGGGAATGGTATCAGATGAGGTTCAGGGACCAGATCTAGTAGCATTTACAGGCCTTAGTAAGGAGTTTTGATTTTACTATAAACACAATGGGAAGCATGTAAGCAGAGAAGTGACTTGATCAGATTTTAAAAGGTCTCTCTGGAGGGGAGCAAGGGTTGAAGTGGGATCCCAGTTGCAGTACTCTGGGTGAGAGAAAAAGGTGGGTTGGAGTGGGGCAGTGATGGCGAACCTTTTGAGCTCAGCGTGTCAGCATTTTGAAAAACCCTAACTTAACTCTGGTGCTGTGTCACATATAGAAATTTTTTGATATTTGCAACCATAGTAAAACAAAGACTTATATTTTTGATATTTATTTGATATATTTAAATGCCATTTAACAAAGAAAAATCAACCAAAAAAATGAGTTCGCGTGTCACAGGTTCGCCATCACTGGAGTAGGGTGATAATGATGGAGAGAAAGAGAAAAGAATTTTAAGGTATGTTTTGGGAGCACCTCACTGTGGGATGGATTGGGTATTTGGAGTGAAGGAGGGAAAGGTGTTAATAAAGGTATCTTGGTTTTTGCCTTGTGACATTTACTGAAATGTGGAAGCCTGCCGCAGAAGCAGGTTGGGAGGAAAATATCAAGTTCCATTTTGATGTAAGTTTGAAGTTCCTTTTACACATCAGAGTGGAAATGAAGAACAGGCAAACGGACAAACAGATCTGGAGCTTAGAGGAGCATCTGGACTAGAACAACAGCTTCGGAGTGTTGACATTTAGATGGATAGTTCTCCCTGGTCTGTATACAGCTGATGAACAATAAATATACATTTTGTAGAGTCGTTGTTCTTTAATGGACTTACTCCTTGATTTTTTTTTCATGATTGAAATACTAGAAGCCTCCCAAATGTAAATTTCTAATTTGAAAAGTAAAAAAACAGCCTATCCTTACCTTATTTTACAGCCTTTTATTCTGTCTTTCCTAAAGTTTTTCCGTGTGACTCTCCATTCCCTTTTTAAGTCTTTTGCTCTATTCCTTTGCCCCATATTACCCAATTTTGTAATTTTTTCTGAATCCTTCATTTACCTGATGGCAAGCTGCTATTGTACATGTTAATAATGAGACTAGTGAGAGTTAAGGCACCTGTGTTCTTATTCCTGGTTTTCTCTCTTGTGAATTGCTTCCAGTGAAGGAGGAAGACACTCATTACAATGGGATGGGACATCTATGACTTTTCTCCTTTCTGACAACTGGAATTTCCCATTCATCTTCTTTCCTTTGCTTTCATTGGATCTCATCTGAAAAAAAAACACAGGGCATAAGCCTCGAGCAACTATGAGCTTGTCTAACCATTTATAAACAGTATTCTCTGTAATAAAGTAAGATATCCTCAACCATGCAGCAGCTGACATGGATCTGAAGAATATTTTCCAAGATACCACAGAAATCAGTAACCCTATAAACATCACGTAGGATCTGTATTCCTTATGGGTTAACTGACCATTGAAACAGTTACGGGATTCTTTTAGAACAAGAGTTTCTTCTTTCATTTGGATCTTATTTTCGTTTTCTCCCCAATTAATCTCTTGTAGTGACTTAGAGTCCCGCAGGGATGTGAAGAAAGAAGAAGGGGAGGCCTTTGCTCGGGAGCATGGACTTATATTCATGGAAACTTCAGCCAAAACAGCCTGCAATGTTGAAGAGGTACTATTTGGAAAAAAGTAGGGTAAGCATTTCAGAGATTACATCGTATCTTTGTCCTTTTATTCAGAAACATGGGTAAAGAAAGAATGTTATGTGGTGAAAGTGTCTTCTTTAAGGGCATCACCCCATTTCTTTACCTTGATTTCTAAGGTTTTACTTTTGCTTTGGGTAACATTAATTGTAAGCTGGGATTAGTCAGCACTGTTACTTGTAAATTACTTTAGTTGGAGGGTCTCATGGGTTCTACTGTAGTCATTCCTCAGCCTGGTGTTGACCATCAATTAAGAGAGCCTGTTTGCCAACCTAGGAACATCTTGGATCAGTACCAAAATACCATATAATTCTTTTTAAAACTACTCACAATGGCTTTTACAAGGTCTGTGAGGGACCTTCTACATTTTTACTCTGTTCTTCTAATGGTTCCTAATCCACTTTATTTATTTTTTAATCCTCATCCGAGGATATTTTTTCCATTGATTTCTAGAGAGAGTGGAAGGGAGAGGGAGAGCCACTGATTGGTTGCCTACTGCATGCCCCTGACCAGGGCTGGGAGCCTACAATTGAGTTAGGTGCCCTTGATCGGAATCGAACCCAGGACTCTTCAGTCCACAAGCTGATGCTCTATCCACTGAGCCAAACTGCTAGGGCTCTAATTCACTTTAGAAATTCAAATAGGAATACTCTTTGTATTCTCTTTTCCTTATTTCTCTACCTAATCTGGAGCCTAATAATATAATTTATGTCTCCTTTAGGCCTTCATTAACACAGCCAAAGAAATATATAGGAAGATCCAGCAGGGTTTATTTGATGTCCACAATGAGGTGAGCAAGGGTGGGGCTGACAATTAAATTTGCTTTGTCTTAAATGCTACATTAAGCTCCTTAGAATGTAAGCATCCACTAACATTATACTAGTTGAAGCTATGCCAACTCATACTTATTTTTTATGTAGGTGCACGGAAACCTGTCATTATTTTCTGTTTTTGTTTTTGTTTTTTCTCAAATCTGAGACCCTCGTATGCTTCAAGTGATTTTATTAGTTGGTGATCTGAAAAGCTTATACAGAATGAGAGGTTTTCTTCTCAATCTCATTTCTTCACTATTTCAGTGCTTGAGAGAGGTGTAATACTTAATTGCTCAGCAGGACTATTATATAAAGCAAGTTTTGGGGCAAAACATAAAAGAATTATATGCTTATATACTACTTCTACTCTTTTGCCTGCTCCTACTCTTTCCTAATCACATCCTGATTCTGTGCATAGCTGTGAATCTTAAGTATAACAGTCATCTTAAAAAGGGGCACAAAAGCCATTTCTAGTCATCTAATAGTATAACTAGCCAGACCTAGTCATTTAATATTTATAACACAGATGGCCATCTCATCTTCACTGTCACAGATTGTTGTTCAACAACAGTCTGGTTAGGGCACATGGCTACTTGCCAAGGTGATATCTGCTTCTAGAAAGTGTAATTAATGATTTCTCCTTATCTCCC